AAGACTAGAATATCTAACCATTTCTTGATGTTACAGAAAGGAAGCATATTCTTCTCAGTTATTTTAAGACCTTGAGTGTTGGTCCGGCCGGGTCTCGAACCCTCGACCTCCCGCACAACAGTCCAGCGCTCTATCCATTGAGCTAACCGGGAGGCGGTATATATTTCCATACAACTTCTGGATCTGTTGTCCTCGCTGAAGGAACACCTCTGTTCAAGGGACGCGCTTTCTCGTGCCGGGGATGTGCCCTTAGAAGAGGTTTCACTGAACCGAGAAGAGGTTCTACTGAACTGTGGACTTACCAGCCAGTTTAGCTTGTTAGTTCCCAACTTATTTTAAATGGATCTTTTCTAACTGATGCTACTTTCTCTTTTGGTTGACAGTTGTGAAGTATCTGGAGGATAAAGGAGCGTCTGTGATAGCCATTCAGATTCCTGAGTTGATGGTATTCACGTCGATTATATTCTGATTTTGTAGAATAGACTTGGAGAATAGGGACCTTAAGCAAACCACGACGGCGACGGCAACGAGAACGTGAAAAAAAAAAGAGATTTAATCGGCCGAATAAACTTAGTACATTTCTTAGCCGTCCTTTACAAAACAGCAACGTGAAATCACCAAAATTAGCTTCGTCTGCGAACCGAAACCGCGACGGCAAATTATTTTAATTTCCACTTGGAACTCAACGCTACTTTCATACGTCATGTTGAGGTTGAGTTGTGGCGCCGTATGAGGTGGTAAACACATGGAGCCATTTTCGAAATTCTAATTAAAAGTAGAAATTCATTTTTTAGTCGAAGTCTTCCTTGACGTTGCCGTTCTGACTGCTCAAGGTCCCTCATGATTACTGCATTTAACCCTTTGACCAGCATCTAACTTCTCCTTACAATATCACCCCTGAATCACATATGAAAGTCATGAGAATAAAGAAAATGATCACCGATTAAAGAAGCTGTTCAGTTGTTTCCTTAAACAAATTCTCCTTGTCAGCACCTTAGAAAATGTATAGAGAACGGTATGGAGAATATGCATACTGATGTTAGGGTGTAAAGGTTTAAGAGAGAGGAATGGAGTGAAACTGTTCTTCTTAACATAGTCCGTAATCCTCTCGCTGTAAGCTAATCGCTAATAGACGGAGTATTGATGTTTCGAACATGATATCCACCGACGTTTTCCCCTTTTTGGAACAGGATTTCGGTTTGGGATTTCCCGTTTTTTGATATTTGCTTCTCCGGTTGATAAGCCTTGTTTGTTATTTCACGTAAGTATGAATCAATATTGTAAGCGATTTTTTTTTTTTTTTGTTCAGTTTTCACTTGTGATAGTAAGGTTAATTTGGCCACTGTACTCTGGCCTTCCTGAGGACCAGTTCAAACGTTGAACTTCACACAAGACGATCAAAACTGAGAGTATTAAGTTCATGTTAAGTTCGACGTTAGAATCAGTTGAGTTCGTCCAACTGAATTTGAATCTACAAACACGTGCTGTCCCTCTGCCTCGGACGGATAGAACGTGTGAAGATCGACTGTGGGACAAACGCTGATCTTTTTATGAATCAAACTTAATGAATAAATTACATTTTGCTTTATTTGGAGTCCCGCTTACGGAGAGATTTGATTTTGCTACTCTAAATT